TTATAAATTATGTCTTTTCTTTTAGCCCTAAAGTAAACAGTACGTAATATTTGTTATATATTATTTAAGAACTAAAACTTACAAGAGAACCATTTCTTTTGTTAGTCCCAGACTTTCTTGGCTGAAGGCACAAATTTTATTTTACAAAACCGTTAGGCCTAGTTGCCTTTCTTTCTAACGTTGCTCATCTCATGTCGTGAGTGATTTGTTCCTAGATTTCCATGTTCTTGGCTGTCCCCGTGGTTTTATGCACCCCGCATAATTTATCAAAACTTGATCCATTTTTGCATAATTTCTGATTTATCATTCTTTGTTAAAATTAACAGAATCGCATAATTTCACATTATTGGGCTCATTTTGCACAATTTAAGAATTTTTCTTGCATGAAACGACGGGGACAGTCTTGGCCAGCCAATAAGCCTAGTACGAGTACAGTGTACCACACCCCGACGAAACAGGTGGCGAGCGGGTTTGTTGGTGATGTGGACTATGAAAATTATAAGAGAAGCCTACCGCACAATCAGGACACGATTATAATTTAGTCGTGCATCTTCGATTTTCCGTGTCCACACAGCTCCATCGCTCCTCCTCTATTTCATCTGTGATTGTTGTTTATCATATTATTGACGAATTTGTGTTCGCGCGCGCGCACGTGTATGTGTGTGTGTGTGTGTGTGTGCGTGCGCGCGTGCGTGCTCCTGTGTGTGTTTTTTTTGTCGTGTGCATGTTTGTGTACCGGGTGCATATTGGGGCTCGAGCGCACGCGCGTGTGTTTGTGTGTGTGCGTGTGTGTATATATATATATATATTAGTATATAAGTATGAACACACTTTTTCTCTTTGCTGTTTTGTGTTTTTGTCCGAATATGCGTCCACGGATGTTTTTCCAAGGTTCTTATGGAAATTGAACGCAACACAAAAGTTACAATGTTTGTATTTTCACTAGATCTAGCATCTCAGTTCTCAGTTGCCACCATTTCCATGGGAGTAAACGCACAGATTTGTCAACTTGTTGACAACGGACGACTCTCCAACTTGAACTAGGCAGAAAGAGCAGTCGACACAGTTTTCCCTTTTCGTCTTTGTCACTCTCAATCAGCAAAACAATGATTAGAAAGAAACAAAAATTACCTGTTTTCACACACACACACACGCACACACACACTGATGACACAGCCGTGCAGGGAAAGAAATACAGTAGTCCACTACATTATTCTTTCTGTGACTTTACTTCCCTTTCCCTTGTTCGCCTTCAACTATAAAGTTAATAAAGCGCCCAGAGCTTCATAAAGCTGATCAATAACCTGAGATATAATAACCTGTACAGAATCTTCTCACAATGTGCTCTAGGGATGTAGCCTACATATTATTATGTGTTTATCATCAATAAGTTTGCATTTGAATTGAGAACAAACTTTGATTTCTGTTAATTAAGGAAAGGGAGAGTTTGAAGACTTTTGGAAGCATGTATTAGAAATGCCTATGGCGGAAACAGAGAGAACATTTTCACTTTAAATTACCTTGCATAGCAGTATTATAGTGCGCCAATCCAGTATTTCTGGTGTACTGGTTAGGCGCTTCGTCGTCACACGCAGAAGACGTGAGTTCGATTCTCGTGTGAGGAGAACTTTTAGCAAACTTCTCAGTCTTGTTTTTTGCTTGGACGTTGTAGGCCTACATTGTATTCCTTTCAGGCATGTTCAGCCTGCCTCCTAAATTATCGAATGTTTGTCCATGTGTGAACAAGACTATTCAAAAACAAAAATAAATTAGA